TAGCACACTGAAGTGAATATCACTCCAGTTGACCCTTCTGTTCATCCACTGACAACTTTGCAGCGCTGCTTTCTTTTCGAACGACCGAGGGATGTATCGTAAACTGGGGTCTAGGACCAACATCTGCCGTGACTATGACTCGATAGCTCCCCGGCACCTCGTAGGCCGCTTATTGTAGATCACTCTACGCCAGGTCCCTCTCTGGTGCCCCCTTTGCTGACCTCTGGTGTCCTGCACCAGGTGGAGTTCTTCAACAACTACCTGCGCGACCCGAAGCGGCCCCAGCTGCCCGAGCACCCGTCGGCCAAGGCGGGCGGCGCCGGGCCCAGCCGCAAGGAGGACCCGCCGGCGCCGTTCCACGGGGCACCATACGGCCAGCCGGGACCGCCGCCGCCGCCGCACCAGTGCGTACTAAACCGGGGAGGGGGAGGGAGGGGGCTCAGGACCCAGCCGGGACCGCCGCCGCCGCCGCACCAGTGCGTATTTAACCGGGGAGGGGGAGGGGGGCTCGGCCAGCCGCGACCGCCGCCGCCGCCGCACCAGTGCGTATTTAACCGGGGAGGGGGAGGGGGGCTCGGCCAGCCGCGACCGCCGCCGCCGCCGCACCAGTGCGTATTTACCGGGGGCATAGGACAGGGAGGGGGCTCAGGACCCAGCCGGGACCGCCGCCGCCGCCGCACCAGTGCGTACCCAGCCGGGGGTTATAGGGGAGGGAGGGGACTCAGGACCCAGCCGGGACCACCGCCGCCGCCGCACCAGTTCGTACCACGTACCCAGCCAGGGGTATAGGGGTGGGAGTGGGAGGGGGCTCGACCCAGCCGGGACCGCCGCCGCCGCCGCACCAGTGCGTACTTAACCGGGGAGGTGGAGGGAAGGGAGGGGGCTCGGCTGGACTCAGTCTAGATCGCCGCCGCACCAGTGCGTACACTGTGGTTTTATCAGACTCAGACAGAATCAGGAACTGGGTGGAGCAGGCCGCATAGCTGCGTGTAATGCTTGGAAAAGCCCCGTAGTTATAAGTCAGTACTTAAAGTAGCGGATGTCGTTTGAAATGGTTCAGGACTTAGATATGTTGGACAGATGAGTCAGGTCGGTACAGTGGGTTTATGCCGACTGAAACACATGCGCTGAAATCCTAGTTTTAATTATTTTCAGCTAGCAATCGTACTATGGTATGTTATCATAATATGTTCGCCACCCCTCCCTTTTCACCCGTGTGTTACCAGGCACCAGCTGATCCCCCCTCCCCCTCCCCCCTGCTCGCAGTTACGGCGGTTACGGTGGCTACCAGCGTCCTCCGATGTACGGCGGTTACCAGCCGCCGCCGCCGCGCGACCCCTACTACCGGGAGCCGTACCTGCCGCCGCGGGACGCCTACCCGCGACCGCCGCGCCCTTACGGCGCCAGACGGTGAGTGATGACGTCCGTGCCGTGGTCACTGTCACTGTCACTGTCACAGTCACGGTCTGTCAACATAGCTGCTGCTTACAGAGAGTCTGGCTGGGGGGTGGCCGGGGTCATGACGGAGCAGGGTGCACAGAGAGGCCAGTGGATGGATGTAACCGTGTCTGAGTGTCACGCTAAGGATGCTGTGTGACAGGTGGGCGGCTGGAGCCGAGCCCAGTTATTCCCGCGTCACTAACGTTTAGCAGGTAGCGCACGCGCGAACGGCATCTCGTGTCACTAGCGTCAGCAGGTGGACCTCAGTGCCGTTCCGTCATCACTCCCGTGCAGATGCTGTACGGACTCCTCGTAGGTGCTGCCACACGTCCGGAGGCGTGTGGCGAATATCGTCTGGCGCCTCTGTGGGCTGGGCCGGCCTCGCCGCCATAACCATCCGACTTACCATCAGCTGTCTGTTATGTCTGTCATACACGCCGGAGAAACGCACGGGCATGTCGCGCCGCATGGACCTTCCCCTAGTTTTTCATGGACCTGTCTTTCTCTGCTCCTTTTTCCAGAATCACATTGGTCCTTGAAACTGTTTTCGACTGTTGATATCATCCTATCATACTACCTTCTCATATTTCTACTTGATTCGTGCCTACCTACCTCTTGTTCTGGTTGTATTGTATCTCAATAATGATGCACCATTTTCCTTCCGTAGCATTTGTTCTTGAAGCTATTTGTGTCCTACCGTTTCTCTTAATTTACTCAGCACTACTTGTAATTATCTTTCTCACTCATGTCACATCACCTGCCTATATTAATTATTCTTGGTCCCACCATCTTGTCGTGCTCTTCTGCCTTTTCTTTGTCCGTTTGTTCTCCCCAAGTTAACATGCAACTTTTCTCTCTTCATTTCTAATTCTTCTTTCTTGCCTCCGAAGTGATTGACTTATGTCTCTTTCTATAATATTTAAGCGTCCTCAGGGCGCCTATCGGCTGTCCGTTGCATATGTTACCTTTTTTTCCTCTCTCCTTTCAGCATCTAGCTTGCTCAGGGTTCTTTCTTGCCTTCTCTTTCACCCTATCATCCCTTCCTTTCCCCTATCCTTCCTCTGTCCTGTCATCCCCTTCTCGTGACCTCCCTGCCCTCTCTGACCACTGACCCGCTGTCGGACAGGGGCGGCTGGCTGGCCGCTCCGGGCCCGTCGGGCGGCCCGCCGCCCCGCTTCCCCCACCCGCCCCACCCGTTCCACGGACACGTCCTGTTCCCGGCCGGCGCCGCCGCCTCCTCGCCGGGATTCTGGCCTCCACAGCCGCTCCAGCCGCCGCCGCCGCCGCGCCGAGCCAAGTTTGTGATCACAGACATTGTTATCCGCCCGCCGCCCCGCCACGTGAACAAAGACACTTTGGCACTTTGAGAGGCAATTTCCGAACGCTTTGGCCCCGACAAAGACTTTTTGCGCCACAAAAATCACGTGGCGGGGCAGGGTGGTGCGCCAAATTCGTAGGTCGTTAATCAACAGATGCCAGTGTTCAGTTGGTTCGTTGTTGCCTGCACAGCACAGTGCCTGCATGCTTGATTCGCCTCAGTTGTCACCACTTATCTCGCAGCCTGCTTGTTTTGTTCTGTTCGCCACGTTTCTGCCGCTTATATTACACTGTTGATGATTATGTCGTACCTCTGTATCCGTTCTGCCGCGCTGCCTGCTCTCTGTCTGTCTCGGTACTCTGTCTCGTGTCACCGGTAACCCACCAGGAGCGGTACGCATGTGTCCCCGCCGTATCACTATGAGTAAGCGGCCACTGACGCGCCCCGGCACCGTCTGTGTGTCGCCGCAGGGACCCGCGATCCATCGTCGACTACCGGGACCTGGACGCGCCGCCCGACGTTGACTTGTTGTAATTCCCACAGTCGCCGACGACGACGACCACGTAGGTATCGAGGGTGCCGCCGGCGCCGCGCCGCGCCGCCTCTCGCCGACGTTTCCGCATTGAAAGAGGTGTCTCGTGGGCGAATCATTACCTTTACGAGGGATTATCTATAGTTTGGTGCAATTAAATGGTGGCGGGAAATTTTAAATACGCGTTTTATTTGATGATCGAAATTGGTGAACGTTTTGCGACATAAATGCTGAAGCGTCGCACATGCTTTCTTTTTGGGGGCCGTAAAATATCGCCTCACGAATGTGATTCATGATTCGACTTTCGAGCAGCTTCGTTCAGTGTTGAAACGCCGCACCCGAGGCGGCCCGGCGTCGCTGATTGGTCTCTGTGGACCAATCAGCGATCGCGCCGGCCGCTATTGGTCGGCGGGCGCCGGCCGGTATCGCTGGTTGGCTACTGTTGACCAATCAGCGGCTGCCATTGGTGAACGTCCGCCGGCCGGTGGCGCTGATTGGTTACCGCCGAGTGACGCAGCGCCGCTGCACATGCTGAGGGTCTCTGCTAACCTGCCCGTGTCTGTGTGTCCCGTTTCAGCCATGTGCGTCCTCTGAGCAGTTACCGGGACCTGGACGCACCGAAGGAGCTGGACGAGTTCTAGGGGCCGCCCGCAGCCAGCATGTCGCCGCCGCCGGCCGGTGTTTTACCTGCGAATGTGCCGCCGCTGCTGTCTGAGGTGTCCCGCGCGGACGGGCCGAGCCGCCGCAGCGCGAGCAGCCGCCCGTAGCCGAGCGGGCCCGCGGCGGCCGTCGATACTCCCGTGACCGATTTCACGTGTCAATAAACTCACCCAAATGTCGCCAGTGTTTGTGTCGATGAGACATAGCTTCTGATATACCGCCGCCTGCGCTCCGTGGGTAGCGAATACCGATGACTCGTATGCAAACCAGACCCCGAACGAAGCCGGTGCTGGGAGTCGCACTGAATCCCATTTGCAACGGAGCTATTCAGAAAACATTCGGCCGGTGCGAGTCAATATGTTTTCATAACGTTTGCATCGTGTTATATCGAGATCGATAGGCTGCAATGCCGCACATATGTCTGCGGCAGTGCGTTGGGCGAGTACATACGGCTCCACTAGACCAGAGCCCCGCCGGGGGCAGTGTCAATAAGACCGTTATCTTTCGCTCAGGTCATGCGGCCATGGTTTGGCTGCGTACGGATCTGCGAGCCGATCTTCCGTAAGTGGCTGAGCCTGAAGGCGATGATTTTTTTCTTATCGTATTCCGAATCGAATCGAGAACTCAATGTCAGATGCAGTTGGTGGGCGGGGCTGGACCTCCCCGTGCCCGTGTTATGGCCGGAGGCCGGCCTCGGCCCTCCTCTCGTACACATGCGCCAGCGCCCCAGCTGCTGCCACTCGGTGACAACTTGGCGTTGGGGGATTTCACCGCTGCCAACTTTGGCGGAGTGTTGGCGTATATCCGCCCAGAAATAGGCATATCGGGAAGCCTATTTTCTTTCACACCGTGTTTTTAAGCCCTTTTCACGGTTTCATCTCGATTTTTACGGATGATACTGCTGATGAAATTTGCAGAAAATGCAAAATCACCCGGTTTAACGTTTTAGTCGAAATTGTTGATGCAATTTTAGGCCGCTTATTTTATAGCCAAAGAATAAATTGGCGAATTTTAGCCTAGATATGGCACACGAAAGGGAAAGTTATTTGGTGCTCCAGAGACGCTTGCCGGCGCTGTGTTCTTTGCGGCCGACTCCCGTGAGAGCGCCGGGCTTCCAGCAAGATGGGACCGAAAGGAAGAAAATCAGCGAAAAGTCCGCCTATTTTCAGCCATGAGTTTATCATCCAAAATCATGAAGATATTGTGTCCTGCATCGCAATGGTGTTTATTGTGGGATTGATGTTCCAGGTGAGCTTGAAAATGTGGTTGCACTCAACGTCCATATGCTAGAGGTTTTTCATGAGTATGTTTAGTGTTAGGAGCTCATATTAACCTTTACATGCATTCATTCAGTGGATTTAGAATGTTTTCAATCATATTGAGGGTTTAAAAGATTATTGTTTTGAATGTCATTTATTGTTTTTGGGGGTTAGAAGTTTGCTGGGGATGGTTGGCTTCCCATGGCTCAAGGCTCTTATGCTATTGCTACCTACCAGTTACCACCTTACCTACCTACCTTTAGCTCTTGATTTCCAAGTGCATAATTTTGGTGCTGATCTTTGCAATTAATAGTTCTGATTATTAGTTAGCTTCTAGGGATCAGTCAGAAACTAATATCTCTGGAACGGCGCCGTCCCGCTTATTAGCACTGCCAATGGCTGTGACAGCTGACCCGACCTACCACAGCTCTGGACTGGACCACACTAATTTATTTTAGTTATGTCGCCAGGTGGCGGTACTTCGAGTTAAGCACCAGCTTTTGCACCACCACCTGGACTAAGTGTTTACTTCCATGATATGTTCAATAAATGTATTTTCTTGTTTCGTTGTTGAATAAAGCTGGTTCCCTGTGAATGGGCAGTTACTGCTTTCATTGGGCCCTTTTGCGGTTAATGATAGCATCGCATTGAACCAGTGTGCAAATGAAGATGATCCTTTGATTACTACTGACTCATACCATCCTCTTTTCAGGTAACATCTCCATTTGCCACAAAATTCATCGCTCTCCAGCACAATGTCACCATCGAGAATGAGAACGAGCCTCCAGTGTTCCTGTATACCAATGGTATCCAGGACCTGTGTGTCATCTTCTTCTACTTCCTCATCTGCATTGTTATCCATGCCATCGTCCAGGAGTTTGTTATTGATGTAAGTATTTTCAATGCATTCTGGGTTTACAACTATCATGAAGTTAAGTACACCTTTTTGCGTTGTTCGATGGCCAATCAGCAAAACCCATTCGTCCGATCAGCACATAGGTGGCGCCAGTGAGAGGCATTCCGGCAAAACCTTCAGCATTTGGGCAAAACGGAATGCTGATCCCACTCCACAGTTCGTCAGTTGGTATTACCTTCGCTATTCGCTATAACTGATTGAGTTCCGGCAAAACCTTTGACGATTTGGATAAATGCTTCGTCATTCGTTAATATCCCTTCGTCGTTCACCAAAACATCCCCATGCTAATTTCGGCATTCCTCATAACATTTCGTCAAAACTAAAAACAGATCGCCCCTTTACAGAGAAGTATATGTAAATATGACCGCGTTTGTACAGTGCAGTGCGAGGCATAGGTGGCGAAACTCGTAGACCATTGATCCACATAAAAATCGGTAGCGTTCATGAGCGCCATAGGTACAATGTAGATGGACGTAGCTGACATGTTATCGGTTGATTGAAAAATGGACAGGCAACAGAGCAACAGGCTGGATAAATTAACCCCGCCTCAAACACCAAGGAACAGGCAACAGGCTGGATAAGTCAGCCCCGCCCCAAAACCAAGGTGTCCGGCCGGCAGGGCCCGGCTTGCCATCTGTCAGCCATTCCCTCGCAAGTCCGACCGGCGCGGCCGCCCGAGGCGTTGTCCCTTGACATCGCACGGGCAGTGACGCGATAATGACGGCCGACTTCGTGGTTTGTATCGAAGCGTTTAGGAGTCCGACGCTCAAGAATCTAATCTACATGCCTACTCGGTATGGCGCCGGCAGTCTCCTCGTAGCTATGGTATAACTGCCTTTTTCGGAATTCAATGGTTAATTGGTTGCAAATTGCGCTGGAACTGTCACCAGTAAAACGCCTTTTGGGTGACCAACGGAGCGAGCGAGAGGATGGGCCTTGCACGTGCGAAATTGCGAGGGGGTAGGTACCTCCAACTAACTTGTGCACTGCACCCTACTAACCGGTCTTTAGCGATGTGCCAAATTTCAGCGCAATCGGCCTAGCCGTTCTCGAGATCTGGAATCGGCACACTGCACGTGCGCACGTGCAAGCGGGGTCCAAACTGACTTTTGCACGGCACCCTACTATGTAACTGGTCCCCAACCGTGTACCAAATTTGAGCGCAATCGGCCCAGCCGTTCTCGAGATCTGGGAGCGCCCCCTGCACGTGCGCACGTGCTGTAGCACCCCAACCTTAACACATGCAGATGAATTATCTGATGGAGACCTAACTGTGTACCGAGTTTCAATGCAATCGGCCCAACCGTTGTGCCGTTATTGAGGTTGCAATTTTGGGGGCTCTTAAAAAATGTCCAACTTTACCACGCGCCACGTGCGGTGGTTGGCAAGAACGCATGGTGGCCATCACACCACATAACTTTTACGTCCAAGTGACATTCAGTAAAGAAGACCGCTTGTCAATCGGATGTCCCGTTCCTAAGAAATTAGCTTTTGAAGACCGTCCCCACGGCCGGCCGGCCGCTCATACTCAGGATTTTCCCTTAATTCAGTATGAGACTCCGCTCGCTTCGCTCGCTCCGTAATAAGCCTCATCCCTGAATGCGTGATTAACGTTAAACATTGAATATGGCTAGATAAGCAGTACATCATTGACATTTTGATCATTGACGAAAGTTTTAAATAAACAGTCATTGTTTACGCACAGTACCGATGAATTTTGCACATCGACTAACCATTTTGTGAAATGTCGAAGCATTATGACAATCTGACAAAGTGTTTTGCCTATGACGAACATTGTGCTCAATGACAAAGAGTTATGCAGAATGGTTAAATGGAGTCCAGCCTGTTTTGCCGACCGTCAAACAGTGATGCACATCGCCGATGGGTTATTTTGAATGACGCTTGTCCAAACTGATGCCGAAATGGTTATGACGATTGGCCATCGAACAACGCAAAAAGGTGTACTAGAATTGGGATAGGTACTACCTACTGCTTCCAGAGTGCTGATTATTGGTGTATAAAGCATAAAGTCTGATGTGGACATTATCTATTGACCATGTCAATTTTTTAAGGTACTATCATTTTAAAAAGCAATGGATTTTCCATCCTTATTGTGTGCGTGTTTTTCAGAAAATCAATAAGAAGATGCACCGGAGCAAGACGCGTCACAGTCGGTTCACCGAGTCTGGTCAGCTGCTTGTGTTCTACCTGACCTCGGTGGCCTGGGGAGGACACATCATATTCAGGTAGGGTGGCACGCACTTCAACTGCCTGCTTCCAAAGGGTGGGCTTTTATAGACATTACTTTCTTTTTCATCACATCTTGGCAGATGGCTTGTCAGTCAAATGTGCCATGTGCTGTTGAACTTGCCTGTTCAACTCACCTGTTTGGGGTTCCCTTGGTCTGAGAGTAGCCTAATGAGAAGAGGAATAGAGAAGGGAAGGAACCTGCATAGAAAGAGCTCGCCCGGTGTATGAGAGCACATCCAAACGGGAAAGTGAGCCCACAATCATGCCAAACGGATAGGGTGTATGGATACAAACAGCAACATATCATAATCGGAACACAGTTTACAGTCATGGAACACTGATTGATTAACATGTGCATTTAAGGCTGACCTGAAAAATATAGCATCGTGTCATGGTTTCCCTTGCTAAGTTCCATGATGACGGGCGTTTTTTCAGGGAGAACATTTTGACCAACATCAGCTCGCTGTGGGAGAACTACCCGGAGGGCCACACCCAGATGGCCTTCATGTACAAATTCTTCTTCATCACACAGATCTCCTACTGGCTGCACACTTTCCCCGAGCTCTACTTCCAGAAGGTACGCCATGTGCCGGTCCCGTGCCGGTCCGCACGCTCTCCCGGCCTGTACTTCAGAAATCGCTCTTAAATGTAAATACAATAAGGTACAGTCCCCGCTGCCGGCGTAGTTTGCCAATAACGGCAGTCGCTCGAGGGAAAGTGTTCATGCGTCGTGCCTGTCGAGTGCAGTCGCTGTTCGTGGGTCCCGCAGTGTGCACGGTATCTCCCCATGCTCGTCACTCGGCAGTTTATATCCCGCCGCCTTAGAGCCCCTTATCTGAGACCGGATCTAGCCTGCAGCGTGCTCGCTCATAGCAGAGCTTAGATCGATATTTCCCCGTACGGCTCTCTCCGGCCGGCGCGTGGACGGGCCGGCGGCCGGCCCGTCCGGCCGGCCCGGCCGGCCGGTGGAAAACGCCGACATGAGTGACCGTCATTTCATTTACTTTTTAGAATCATGCAAATCAAAATTTAACTCGTGTTTGCTGTCTCTCACTAACACTGGTCTCCCATTCCATCAACATTGTTTACCCAGTTAAATGGACCGAACAAAAGTTTCCGCTCACTGTAGATAACGATTACCGTTTCTTTTGTCTGCGCCGTGCGCTAGCATATTGAGTTTATGACCCCCGCCCTGCGGCACCGTCAGGTCCGGAAGGAGGACTGGCCGGCTCGCATCCAGTACGCTGTGCTCTACCTGGTGTTCATCACTACCGCCTACGTCACCAAGTGAGTGTCAGAGTGCCGGTGGGCCCCTGAGTTAGTGTCAGATTGCCGCTGGGTCCCCTGAGTGAGTGTCGAAGTCCTGCCGGGTCCCCTGAGTCAGTATTCAGGGTCCGGTAGGTCCCTGAGTGAGAGTTGGGGGTCCCGGTGGCTTCCCTGAGCCGAGCGAGTGTTTGGATCTGGAGCGTAAAGGTTTTGGCCTACTTCCAGGTCTACCGACTCATTGGCTACGTTTCCATGGCACAAGCTGCCGATTTTGACAAATGGATTTGCTCCATCATAGCATTTAGGCATAATTTTAAAATGTAGATAAAAGATAAGTGCTAGCTAAAACCATATATACGCTCATTTTTTTGCATAAGGTAAATAGGTTCCGAGAAAAACGCGCGTGAAATTTCGCTAAATCGATTTAGACGTGTCATGGAAACGTAGTGAGTGTCCGGGTTCAGTGGTTCCCTAAGTGAGAGTTCGGATCCTCTTGGGTCCCCGAGTCAGTGTCAGGCTCTGGTGGGTCCCCGAGTCAGTGTCCGTGATCCTTTGGGTCTCCCGTTCGGTACGCGCCGCAGTCCTGCCGACTCAGTTCGTCCGACCGTGGCCGACCGTGGCCGTGGGAGCGGACACCTGGGTGGTATCGGTGCGCTCAGTCTACCGTGTACGACGCACGTGGCGTCTGAGAAGTTATATCGGTCCGCAATGTATGGTATAAGACCCGTGTGGGCGGGATTAATTGGAGACTGAGCGGGAGTGCTGTCGGTACCGGCTAATAGAACTCGGGAAGGTTGTGTATTGATGGATCAATACCGTGTGATGACATCCAGCTGTCGGGTTCACTGGATTATGTCAGGCATAGGTACCTTCGATGTTACATTTATTTTCTGTATTTGGCATGCTGTGACTACGTACAACCTTCCAGCGACCGAACGTGTTCCTCGTCTAGAAAGCCTTTGTCCGAGTGAAACTCGTCCCGTCCTTGCGTGTCTTTCCCTGAGCCTTTTCGTACAATAGCGTATCGCATATGCTCTCTGCTTAACCCGCGCCCTGATGGGGGGCCATTTTGCCCCCCCTGTGGTTTTTCTTAAATAGCGAGAAAACGGCGGCGCGCAGCGCCGCCAAATTTTGGGTACCTTACCGGGCATCAATTTGACACCTTCACACAAAATTTCAAGTCACAGGTCACCTCAGGTCAGGAGTTATTGAGGTCAAACTGAGGTCATGTTCGAGTAAAAATGAGCAAAAAACTTGACATCTTGAAACGCTCACCAATTCTATAGTTAACCCGCGCCCCACTGGGGTCTGTGTATAACACGCCCTACTGGGGGGGGGGCTATTCATAGCCCCCCCCCCCTCCTAACTCCGAAACTACTGGGCCGATCGTCAAAATTCAAACGGCGTCTGATAGCCCCGGAAAAACTGTCGAGCGAACCCTAATTTCATTGACCTCGAGGTCACCGATGACGTCACAGGTCAGATCAAAGTAAAAATTATTAGCATTTGGGCTTGTTCACATTTTTGGCTCTGGCCGCCGTCTTACAAGTCAGATCAGGCTCATTTTTGGTTTCCACACTCGTGAAGAGATGCTCTAGATACTTTGAGGGTACCAAACTTGTACTTTGATTTTCAGGTCAGGGTCAGGTCATCACAGGTCACGAAAATATTATATCATGTCTCGGTCACGTGACACATGTTTTATGGTCCATTTAGGCCATAGATTTCGAATTTGATGTCGTCTGTGTCATTCGAGGTCATTTGGAGTCGAATTTAGCTTAGGTCAGGTCACTTTCAGGTCAAAAAAGGTCAAATTTTGAAGTTTACATTTTTCAACAAAAAAGGTGTCGAATGGATGCAGTTTGAGCTCAGAAACACGATGGTGCCATTTATATTGGTGTACGATGTCAAATACGTACTGAAAAATTGATTTGAAAAATTAATAATTGTGAAGTTTTTGCAATAATGCGTATAACTTGGTCATTTTTGAAGATATTTAGCTAAAACTTGCTAGAGTTAGTCAACATCATGCGTTCTGTCACATATATTCCGGTATTTTCGAAAAGTCAAAAACTTTTTGAAAAAATATAAAAATATAAATTTTGAATATTATTATATAAAATTTTAAAATTTTCAAAATTTTGAAAATCCGAGATAGCAGTTTGATAGCGCGGTCAATTCTGAGTCCTTTCATGCAAAGAAATTGGATCTAGCTTAAAAACTGAGCTCTTGGGAGCGATTGCCGTGGTTCAATGTTTTTCGTCGAAATCGGACGAACATGACGTCACTCTGACGTCATTTCCGGCCGACCTATGGTAGCTACGAAGTTCAAATTTTGACGCAAGGTGTCAAATTGATGCAGCCGAAGGTCCTGAAAGTTTGGCGTCGATTCGTCAAGCGGTTTGGAAGTTATTGCAGAAAAACGGGAGGGGGGGCTATAAATAGCCCCCCAGTGGGGCGCGGGTTAACAAGCAATTTTAAAGTTCTTTATGTGGTTGTGTAGAGAAAAGACGGCGCTACAAAACTGCTATCTCGGATTTTCGAAATTTTGGGATTTTGACCCCCATATATCAAAAAAATTGATTTTTTTTTAGAAAAACTCAAAAAATTTCCAATTTTTTTTTCGAATTTCGAAAAACCGGAATATATGTGATATTCCCTGCGCCCTTCAATATACATAGCAAATTTTAGATCGATACCTCTTTTTTGGCCAAGTTATAGCGAAAAAAAAACTGTTAAAAATTGATGACGTCAAATTTTTGAACTCAATTTTTTAGCAATTCTAGACCTCGTAGCGCAAAACGGAGACCACCATTGAACTCCCCGTGACGAGCTGCATCGAATCGATACCCATTTTATGCAAAAATATCAACTTTGAAATTTGACCTAATTTGACCTGACCTTGACCTGACCTTGACCTGACCTTGACCAAAACGTGACCTAAGCTGGCCCTAAAGTCTGTCTGACCCACATAATCGTATTTGTCATGTAAAATTGACCATAAAACATGTATCACACGACACTTTCATATTGTGACCCCCCAGTGACCTGACCTCTGTGACCTGACATGGTATCAGTGACCTCAAATAGCAAAATATGTGTTTGAAGAACATTTCTCCATCGATGATTTTCAATGATATGCATTTTACTCGATTTTACAACGCATTTCTTGAAATGCCTGTAAACGGTGAAAATTCGACCTTTGACCTGACCTGTGACGTCATCGGTTTGACCGAGGTCAATGAAATTGGGTCACAAGGTAGTTCCCCGTTGGGGCTATCCAACACCGTTTACCGCTTGTCGCTATGTTGCGTGGTTCTCGAGATCTGAGGTTCCCCCCCCCCCCCCCATCAGACCGCGTTGCTCGGCAGACCCCATCTGGGCGCGGGTTAATCTTGTTCAATAACTTGTGTCCCACTTAGTCAAACCTCATCATGTCTGGCCCAATGTCCGCTTGTCTGGCGTTCGTCTGATTGCTCTTTATCAACTAGCCAAATCTGACAGAATGTCTGGCCGTTCTCGGATTTCGTGTCCCGCCGTCTAACCTCTCCCTCCAACCCCATGTCTGATCTCTCCCTGTGACCCTATTTCTGACTTCCCTCTGAGGCTCTGACCCTATATCTGACCTCCCTCTGCGCCCGTGTCTGACCTCCCTGCCCCCGTTTCCCGCAGTCTGACGCGCGTGGCGCTGGTGCTGCTGGTCATCCACTACACGGTCGAGGCGGTGGTGCACGCCTCCAGGCTGCTGCACTTCGCCGACAAAACCGAGATGGCCGCCAAAGGTGAGACCCCACCCGACCTACCTCCCCGGAACGGCCGCAGTGCAGTCCCGCTGAGTCTGCTGAGGGATTCTGCTGCAGCTGTGCTGCTGAGTGGCGCTTTTCCGCTCCACTTCTCGTCCTTGGTAGCTGCCTCAGTGTTTTCACACGATATCGTGACACAGTCATGCTCTGTTTCGTCATCATCGCTGCCCCGTTCTGCGGGTGGACCGCGGCTTTTCCCTGTGACTCCCCCTCTCACGATATCTGTGTGTTACCTGGATCGGCCACCAGGGAATTATCACTAGCGACCTCTGTCGGTGCGGTGATCAGCTGGAGGGCAAGGGTGGGTCACGGCTGGGGGCGCCCGCCTCACCTGTTCCGCTAAATTGAGATAGGGGCTGCTGGTCCCACTTTGTCCCCCGGGCCCTGGGCCGATTGTATTACGTGAAATTGTGATTGGTTTGTATGTGGTAGCTTGTGTCATACTCTTGTGTGATTTTTGTCGTGCTCCTTCCGTCTCGAACTAAAATGTTCTGTGCCGTCCTGACTTATTTTAGCAGTCCATCCCTTGCTAACCGTTCTGTGAACTGACGTACAACAGAACCGTTCTGACGTGCTGTCCGGCACTGATGTGCTTTGTCCCTTACTGACTCTCTTTTGTCTTGCCGTCGGCAGGTGTCCTGCTGTTTAACGTGCTGTTCACACTGTACTGACGCTGTTTCCCGCCGTCGGCAGGGTTCCTGCTGTTTAACGTACTGTTCACGTTGGCTCGCCTCTCCACCATCGTGCTCTCGGTGCTGACCTTCTGGTTCGGACTGGCGCGCTCCGAGAACCCGGGTCTCGACCTGGCCACCGGCAACTTCAACACCTACCTGGTCAGGTGAGTCGAGTCCAAATTGGGGCCTGTTGTGACTCGCCAGTCCCATGGTCCGCGGCGCGGCGACCCGTGCGGACCCATGACTAGCTGCCCTGGTCTGTCATCTCCTAGGAAGCAGCACCAGGGGCACCAACCCGGCTAGAAGTTACGTATCACTTGATAGTTGATCCGTGACCGGTTCACGGTGTGATTAATTGTTCCTGGTCTATGACAGCTCATAAGATAGCCACTACACGAAGAGTCACTATGCTGATTCTTGCCACCGTGTCTGTGACCTGTTCGGACCCCTGCGGTCGTGTGAGTCCTGAACTGACCCCTGCCGTGTCTGTGTTCCGCGCAGGGTCAACTGTCTGGCGGGCATCTGCCTGCTGCAGGCCTGGATGATGTGGCACTTCATCACCTACCACCTGCGGCGCATGCGCGAACAGGCCGCCCTCAAACCGGCCCCCAAGAAGGCGGCGCCCGCCAAGAAGGACAAGAAACCCAAGGAGAAGAAGAGTGAGTAACGTAGATGGAAGATGAAAAATAGTAGGAAAGTAGCATAGAAGGCATGGCGTCTGTGACTGTCTTATTCTCGTTGCACTACTACGCCTATTTACGCCTATTTACCGCCTATGTGGGTACGGCTAATTACTAACGTTTTATTTGATAACGGGTGTTAAGAATGTGCTCTAAAGAATTTGTCAGGTTTTTGCGTGGTTCTTTCTGAAACATCGCCATTAACTAACGTTTTAGGGGAAATTTGTGAAAGCACTAACTAAATTTCGGAGACATAACGATCATTTCTTCTGCGTCAGCGAACAGTGTCGGTGCTGGGGAGACGTAACTTATCAGTGTCTTCGGAATTCTTCACACTATCTGTCGTGTGCATGTCCATTAACTTTTCACAATCATGCAATAACTCATCTGTATCTCTTCTCTTTCTCTTGGTTTGCTTGTATTAGAATAATGAATGCTCAGTCTACCAGAATAGTGACATGTTTTGCAGTTTTGATATTGCCGTAAGGGCTGACAATATATTTACGCGATTGCCAAACTGTGCGGTGCATCTCGCACAGAAATCATTATGAAGATGTGTGCTCTTTGGCTATCTTAGTAGGAAAATTTACAGTCTGCTTTGGCATTTTCTGGTCAATTTGATTAGTGCACACTACACCGCAACTGCTTCAGCCTAACACTGACACGTGGCTGGTCTGTGCCGTTACGGAGTTTCTTTCAAGTTTAAACATGGGGTCTTTATTTTGCTTTGGCCTAAGCAGACTAATTTTTGGTCACCTTTTCTCGCCCTGGCGATGTTTTAGTTTTGCCAGCCGCCTGCGGGCTCCCCCTCCTTCCGCTTAGCACCGGTAGTGCCTGGAGCCGCCTCTAGATGTCGTGGCTGTCTGTCCCGCCGGCTGGTTCTCTGTCTCCGCTATCTCTCTGTTTTCTGCATGCCTTCCCGTCTCTCTTTGCAGCGTAACTGGCTGACGCGCGGGTGTTTCTCCCTGTAGGCAAGAAACAGCTGGACGAGGATGTCTCCGAGCTGCCCGAGGTCGATCAGAACACTAAGAAGCAGCTGAGACAGCGCAAGTAGGCGCCGCCGGACGCACGGCGCGGCGCGGCGCGCACATGACTATTTTTGGACCTGTGAGGCCGGGCGCGGCCCGGGGTGGTCTGGGAGACTGACTCGGTAGGCCGCTCTCTCCGGGGGTAGTGGTGCGTTCTCTGACGGGTGGCGGGACACTGGTGACTGGACGCCGCGCCGGCCGCCCGACCGGGCCCATTCCAGGTGTGAGCGCGAGCCGCGGCGGGCGGCGCCGCCGGCCGGGCCGGGTTTTATTGACCGTTGCGCTGCGTTGTTGTTCGGGCTGAGCGGCCTGTGGCTGGGTTGGTGTGACAGGGGGGCTCGCCTCTCCGCTGTCGGCGCGTTGTCGTCCCTGTTGTCTGTAAATTATCGTGTGAAGGCCGGCGCTCGGCGGCGGCCGGCGCCCCTGTCCCGGGGCTCGGTCGCCGCCGGCCTGCGCCGAATACACGGGAGTATTGCTGTTTCTGCTCATTGTTTGTGGTTGGGTACTGTGCGACCGAGGAGGGGGAGGGGGGAGGGCTCGCTGATCCGCACGTTGCTCACTAGTCTGGCAGCGGGGGGGGGGGGGGGCGGCTGACGTGACGGGCGGGGCACAGCTCGGGCTGACGCATAGGACAACGAGCTGGCATGGGTCCAAAGCTGCAGGGGAGGGGACGGAGTCAAACCGGTCTGCACGCCGTGGGCGGAGTCAGTGGGGCGTGGACACCGCCGAAGCCAAACGATTGCCCAGGGACGGCCATGACTGGCTGGCAGAGGGTGGCAAGGCACGGATATGACCATGACGATACGGCAGGCTCCCAATGTTCGATTGCTTTGCGTTCGTGCAGTTATAATTGCTTTATTGCATTCTCACGAGAAGGGTGGCTTCTTTTTTCTCTTTTACGTCCGCTTCTCAGCGAACGAAAAACGAATCGATACATAGCGATATATTTCGTGTCATCCCCATTGCATGCCGTGTCCCCAGTGGTCACCACTCACCAAATAATCAACAGGATTGGCACGTGTATCACCCCCAGTGAGGTTTCGTATTTGTGGTCCGATCACTCCCTACTACCTACCCCGAATTTCCGATGGCAGCACTTCTGCCATCGCCACAGCCCCTCCTCTGGCTGCACCCCATAGGCACGATTTGTGTCCCAGCGAGCGGCATTCCACGCCCCAGGAGGCCAGTGGGCAGCATGACTGACATAGAAGCCCCACGATCTCAGCTCGCATATACCAGCCAGGCGGCTGGACATCGGGCAGCGGGTCTTCAAAGCGCAATTACACAGTGTCATGGATGGTTCCCTGATCCCCTCCCCTCCCTCCCCTGTCTGGTCGGTGGACTCAACCTGCGTCCGCCTCTGACCTGACGCCGCCTGTCGTGCCCCCTCCCTCCTCTGAACTCGCACGTCCTTCGCCAGCACCCAACCCCTGGCTGTCACGACCCCGCCCCGGGTCACTGGCAGCGCGGCTGAAGTCCCTCGGGTCACACCTCGAAAAGTCTCCTATCCCAGTGCTCGCCTGTGTCACACTCAGTGGTCCTCCACCGCCGCTGAGCCGTTTTGGCGGTGACGGGTGACGCCGTTACTGGAACCGTTCGCAGCACCATTGGTGATGCCATTAGCGTGACCATTGGTGACGCCATTGGTGCCGCCATTGGCAGTTCCGTTGGTGACTCCATTGGTGACGGGTGGCTGGCGGCCGCGGAAAGTCTCCATGGGGTTGTGCAGTCGGAGCAGTTTCCCGATCTCGTACAGAACAGCGTAGTTCAGCGACCTGTCATCAGCGCGGGGCACAGATGTTAGACGGGGCGGTGAGAGCGGAACCAGTCTGAAAGACCATGTCAGAGTCTACGGTAGGCTTCTTAACGCACTTCAACTCCATTAAAGTCAAAAATGACCAAGGCAAGTCACAATAAGTGTACTGATGTGCATCGTTATGCTTCCACACTGGCAATGAAAACTACATATGCATGGGGGGAAGGGGATGAAACGTTCGCCAAATTATCCCTCGTTGGCCTGACTTCAGGACTAGTTGAATCCATTTATAAACTTCAAGCACTACCAAAGTACGCCACTCATGGGCACTTATCGCCCATTTACATGCTAAACACTACAACTGAGTGCGTGTCTCCCCGTCCCCATGTCCGTATATGCAGTCTGCACAAACCTGCCTACGGGGAAGGGTGGATGGACGCCGCTCGCTGCAACTCTGCACATGGCGCTCGCTCGAAATGATGGCATGAGGATGAAAGCTGGCAATTATCCGTGCACTTGGACACGGATAATTAACCCTCGCATGACCAGGCCATTTCTCATAACACGAACGACCAGGGGGGGGGGGGTTGTTACGACCCCCCCCCCTGGCGTTTCGAAACGGAAGGTCGTAGAGCTTAGCGGAAAAAACCAACGGATTGCTCTCAACGAGATCTCGCGATTGGTGGTATATTTTTTGGTCCTAGGTCAACATTTGACCTACTTTTGACCGGTCAAAGGTCAAATTTTCGGAAAAATAGAATTTTTCAACTTTCGGCGGCGATTGCGGCAAAACGGTGGGAGATATCGACTTGAAACCTTCACTATCGTGTTCTTTGATCAATTCTCTATCGTTTGGTATGTATTTCGTTTCCCTAGCTCTAAAAATGGCGCGTTGGGAGCGCCGGAAGTCGGCAAGGTCACAGTCGGCGGCAGAAATTCGAAAAATCAAAATTTAAATTTTTGAAATCTGATTGTATTTTTGGATTTGGGAGGTCCATTTGCTCCCTATAGAAGCTAATATTGCTGCATATTCCCATTGAGGTGACAAGAATTAGCAAAATAGTGGTTCGGGCGCTTTTCAAAAATAGTACCGGACGCTGTTCCTCTTGTGACGTCATAGCTCCGTGACCTGACCTGACCCGGTCAAATTTCTTATACCATATGATAGCCAATACTTGCCCCAACATGCATGGGAAGTTTCATCACGATCCATCAACCGATGTCCGTACCACCGGCAGGAAACCTCGGGCGTTGGCACTCAGTTTGTGAAAATCCGGCCGGAGGCTGTACCTCTTATGACGTCATAACTCCGTGACCTGACATGACCCGATCAATTTTTTTCGGCAAAAGATGCGCAAAGGTTGCCCCAGAGGGTATTGAAAATTTCAGCCCGCTACGACAAGCCGTTTAGCGTGCACTTCGAAAAAACCTCAGGGGGGGGGGGTTGATACAACCCCCCCCCCCCCCTAGGCGTTCTAGGGTTAACCGTGCAACTGAGGTAGACTCTAGGGGAGAGTGGGGCACATTCGTGCATGGGGCACATTCGTTTTCAGCAGTTTATGGGAACACGAGTGACTGCACGAGCTCAAGGTAAATTATGGAAATATGTCTATCATTGCCGCCCTTCGTTCACCGTAGAAGACAACACTGTACCTGCTGTCATGCTTGATAAAAACGCAAATTTGTAATATTCATGAGCTTTCCAAACTTTTCTCATATCATCCATTTTCGTGATCCTGACTCGGAAATGTGGTTCAGCTTTTCAAAATTGGGGGTGAAGAAGCCCACTCTATTCACGGAACTGCTGCAAACTTGTTTGTTGAAAAAGTGTCATTTTTTCAAAAAGAAATTTTGAAATATATTACTAATAACGTTGTGGGGCAGGTTCGTGTACGCACTGCCTGGGGGCACATTCGTGCATATTTTTTTTTTAGTTTTTGCGATTTATGACTTTATCTGTAGTAGGTTTCTCTAATGACGCTCGCCTGACTCAGTCTCGACTGCTTGCGACGTCGTGACGAGCAATTCACGCGAACTTGGCGAGGTCACGGAGGCCGGCAGTTGGCACATTCTTGTTGGCCAGCCCATTCTTTCTACATTTGTTGTGCAATGCATTCTTGTCGAAAGGAATCAAGTGAAATGACCCCCTGCCAATTTCCTTTGGTAAATTTCTGGTAATGCCCGGTAATTTCTCGAATTTTGCCGGGTGAACGGAAGTGCCCCATCTCTTGAACGAATGTGCCCCATAGGTGGGGCAGTTTCGTGCAAATGTTCAGAGTTAATAAAAGTCATTTTTTCTAATGGAAGCAATAATTTTATAGGATAACTTTTAAAGAGGAAAACTATCTGCAATACTTCCTTTCCATACTACAATCAACAATTTTGCCATTGCACTAACCAAAGAACAGATATATGGGTTTATCCATTTTTTGCACGAATGTGCCCCACTCTCCCCTACACTTATTTTCGTGAAGGCAGTGGGGAATGCTGGCCGCCTGCGTTAAACTCGGCAGATAAACGTTTGTAGGGAGGAGGTAGTTGCAGAGGAGAGGGAATAGTGTAGGGAGAGGGAGCCGGGATGTTCACGACGGGACGGGCGGACACTAACTCTCGGTGGTGGGTGCGATTTCAGACAGATCTATAGGCTATAGCAGTGAACAGGGAGGGGGGGGGGGCGGAATACAGATTACGGAACGTCTCGGGTCCCTGAAGTTAACGGTTGGTAACCCATTGTCTCTCCGCTCTCGACCCATTAGAGTTGAGTTATTTATCGCATCGACATGCGGTTTTTGATAAGCTTGAGGGATGTCTTGAAAGTAAGGTTATAATGTGCCTTGCGGAGTTATATAGGGAGATGGCGAGGGCAACGTTCACGATGTCATGATGCACGATCCAGGTGCATTCGATTGCCTGTACGGTGAAGAAATGATACAACCCAACTTCTAGACAAGCGGCCAATCCAAGCAATGCGATGAAGATTGTCATCATGCAACCCCGGTGTACAACCCAGATGAAGAGGAACAAGCACGCACAAAGTAGAGGACGCATGCAAACAGCACAAAGAGCGTACCTAAAGGCGGCAGGCTTCTCGAGCGATCAAGCAGACAAGACGGCACGGTACAATCAGCTCAGCCAGCATGTAGGCGGTACAAGCAGGAAGTATACGGCACGGACGGCCCGACACAATAAGGCAGCATTAGCCGGTGCAGGCATGTTCGACCTGTTGCAAGATTGGACGCCGTGAACAGCTCATGCACGTGGTGCGTGTTCGTCTCAAGCCGGCCCGACGATCCCACCTGGAGGGAGGCGCGACAGGCGGCGGCGGCGGCGGGCCCCACCGCCCCACTACGCCTGCTTGGTTCGGCCGGTGAACGTGTCCATAGCGCGCTCCACCTTGAAGGCCAGCCCCAGCGTCCAGTAGGCGCGCCAAGGCATGGCCCTGGCGCAGCGGCCCGGTCAGCAGGGAGCGAGGGGAGTCGGGGTGGGGGGGCGTACCCCTGCTGCTTCTCCCCGGGAAACTCGGCGGTGGGGCGCTCGATTCCCACATAAAACCCACAGCGACGTGCATCATTCCGGTGCCGGTTCATCCCAGGTGGGAGAAATGGGAGGGGAAGACCTCTGATAGCCCAGTCGGGACAATCAAAACTATAGACGAGTGTCGTACGTCTTCTATAGCGCCTTTGCCTATAGGTTCCCTGTGCATGAAAGGATAGACGCTCTGCCAGC